AACAAACATTTAAAAAACGCGCGGGGGGGGGGGGGGGGGGGAGAGAGTGCATGCTTACCTGAGCAGTCTTCCAGCAACTTGCTTCTGAGATCGGGCCTGTCTTTCGGCGGCTGTCATTCCCCCCACGCCTGCTCCTCCTTACTTCTTCTTCTTCTTCCCGTGTCCATCGTGGATGTGGGCGGGCGGGGAGGAGGTGCGGTGCGTGGATGCGGGCGGGTCTGGCAGGGGCGAGTGTGACAGGCGAGGAGGAGGAGCGGCGTATGTGGAGCCGTGAACAGGGCCAACTAATCGAAAGACGATTAATCGATGATTGAAAACGTTGACAACCTTTTCAATCATTTGATTATAATCAACTTAGTCGATTTAGTTGTTGCAGCCCTAGTCTCTTTTAAAATAAATTTCTTTACTTTTTAATGTATGGGTAACTGATTTACTTCTTCACAAATATTCATTCGTTTACAATTTCTTACATGCTTTGACGTTTTCTGATACTTTGTTCTTATTTTACGAAGGTTAATTTATTTGTGTTTTTGTCTGTGTTGGAACATTTATTTTGCTGCTTTATAACTGTATCTGTATTGAGGGGATAATTTTGAATACCGCCTTATATTGTGCAGTTAGTAATTGTATAAATTGAAGTGGTCAGTCACACATGCACATTGTGGTGTGGTAGTGTGCCGTATGTGCATTAGCTAATTGCATTGCCATTTATTTTGAATGTCACCCCAATGCGCTTCCATGTGCATGCATTGGGGTGCATTACAACCCAATCATTTTAAATTGGCTGGCTAACTAAACACACAAAAATGCATGTGTTGCAGCACAGTGTGGCGTGATTTTGGGAATGAGCCCTAAAGATTTGGGTGTCAGTTCTAGAGTCTATGTACAGTAGCTTTGACCAATATGTGTTTAGTAACCATAAATGTATTTTGTGTGTTAGACCTACCTCTTCCTGGGATGTGTAGGGTAAGCCAGATTTGCCTTTAAAGCAGAACTATGAGGTGAGTGCTTTTCACTCACCTCCTAGTTCTAGCCGACCTCTGACAATGAGACTGTCACAGGTCTTCTCAATAGATCGGGAGGTGAGCGAACACATACCGGGTTCGCTCGCCTCTCGATCCTGTCACGGCTCTCTGCCGTGACAGGGGGAGGGGCTGGATTCTCCTCTCCCCGCTCCGATCTGCCAGCGCTGACTGGCGGAATGGACGGGGGAGGGGGCGGGTACAGCTGGCTCTGCCTCTAGATAGGCAGAGCCAGCTGTCACTCCCGTCAGCTAAGTCGTGATCCGCTGTGGCGTCTCAGTATACCGCGAGCTGTAGCTCGCGGTATACTGAGCTTAGGGTAACGGGAGGACGCTAGTTTGTGCCCTCCCGTTACCCTAAGGAGAACTATGGGGAAAAACACTGACCCCATAGTTCTCCTTTTAATATAAATGGACAGTACCATCCTTACCATCTTGTCTTGAATTGTATTGTGATTATGTCTTCCTTATATTGTAAAGCGCTGTGCAAACTGTTGGCGCTATATAAATCCTGTATAATAATACCATGCTGAATAGACTGCAGCAGTAGAATGCAGGTAGCTACAGATGCCTGCACATCATGAATGAACCCTCAAGTGGTGATGGTGGCCTCAGTGCCACAGTTTTGACACTTAAATTGATTGAAGATTATTGAGAAGATAAAGGATACCAACTGTAGGATTTTAAGTAGCGCAGAAGGGGCTTGTATATTGCAGCTTTTCATCATTGGTTTCAGGTACTTGGCAGGCAGTTCTTACCCCCTGCCAAGTGTCCTCTAAGTGGGTGGTGGCAGGGTATTGGGACGTGGTGTCATGAATACCATATAGTGTCTTTGGACCTTGGTTGAGGCGTTATCTGGTGTAATGATCAAACCACAGACAGAGCACTGCCCCTACAGAACTGTGTCTATGTTCTTCTGCATCCAACAATGTGTATGGGGCCCGAAAATGTTAGAGCCACTCAAGCAGGGGGACACGGGCTACCTGTTGAGTTGAAATGTCAGGTGTTTATCTTTGTCAACCATTTACCTTTTACAGAAATTCTAAGCAGTTAGGGATATGTACAATTTTTGTCATACTGCTTTTAGTTTTGGCTTCTGCAATATGCTCTGCTTTCAGTAAAAAGAAGAAATGTGAGTGTGGAATGATTTGTCTTGGAAATCCTTTGGGCCCTGTCCTTGAATTATTTGTTTAGCAAGTCAATTTTATTTATCAAGAGATGGTTTTTATATGGAGCTTACTGTAAGCCCATTGAAAATAGCTGATGAGTGAATCATAAGTGTCTCTGTGATATTCCAGTAAGAAATGAATCTGTGTGCGTTGTAAGTCAATAAACAATTTGGCTAACTTGAATGGAGAAGTAACCGTACTGCCACAGTTCAGTGCGACATTGTGTTGTCCTAATGTTATACCCTCCTTTTTTTTTTTCTTCTTCTTGATTTACCATAAATGATCTGGTGGTTTCCAGAAGTTTTCATTTTCTGTTCAGTAACAGAGTTCATGCCCTTTCAAATTCTTAAGGCTGGTTTACACTTCTGTGTTTTTTGCAGTTAAATGCAAAGAGGTATTAGCCACTGTTTTCATCTACGCATTTATAATATAGGAACCTGTCTGCAATATACCTATGGTAGGTAAATGGAAATGGAGCTTAATCCCTCCACATAATCTATATACTAAATGTAAAAGGATATTAAAACAAAAAGATGCTATGTATGTGCATACATAATACACATTATATACTGATCAGCTAGAACATTATGACCACTGAACCACAGAGGGGAAGGGAATAACCTTGATTATCTCGTTGCAATGTTACCTGGAAGCTATATTAGGCATCAAGTGAACATTTTGCCTTAAAACGTTACTGTAGCAGTGATCACTTTTACATTTGTTAACAGTAGATTGAACTTGCCATCACCTCAAACCCCCACCACCTTGTCATCCCCCTTTTGTGATGGGCACAAATAAGTAAAAAAGTAAAAATCGAGCAGATTTCTCCAACACTGCGAGTTTGTTGATCCAGGAATCCCAGCTGTTTACATTGTATTCTGACAGCGTCTGCTTGCCCGTGTCTGAATACCTGAACAGAGCCAGCAGCTCATTGGCTGCCGGCTGTGCTCATACGAAAATTTTCCAACCAGCTGATCAAGGGATGCCTGCTGAAAGCGGCACCCTCTGTGTGAATTCCGTCCGTTTGACGGGCTGGTAGAACTGGTATGACCACCCTTTTAGCGCACACAATTTGTAGCCTAGAAATCATTTATTGAGCTGACAGTCTTCTTTTTTTTTTCCTGCAATAGACTTGCCATATAACATCATCCCAGACAGGTTGGCGAATTTACATCACTGGTACTGGAAAATACCTAATATTTAAAGATCTAAAATGTGTTTTGTCATCCTTACAGTGCAGACGTATGTATCAAAACCTACATATGTTTTGGGTCCCCATACTCGGGATAAATAGGTGATAATATTAGTAATATTTGGAGTAGTATCAATTGTACAAATTATGATGCACATTAAACAAAAAAACCTGCATTTATTTTTTTAGCATTTTTGGCCATATATCTGCTTTTATTATAATATAAATATGTATGTATGTGTCTATATCTAGGACACACACATCCCCTGCTGATTTTTGTAAGTTTGCCCACTTACAAAGAAATGAAAGGTCTATAATTTTTTTATCATGGTTGTATTTTAAATGATAGAGACGGAATATCTCAATATTAAACAAAAATCCAGAAAAAAAAACCACATGATACAAATGTTATAAATTGAGTTGCAGTTCAGCGAGTAAAATAAGTATTTGATGTCCAAGCAAATTGTGCATGTCTACAATCATGTCCCTAATGTTCTTTTTGACAGCTCTTTTTTGGTCTTGCCCATGGTGGTGAGGTTTGAATGGAAGAAAGATTCTGTGGACAGGTGTCTTCTTTTTTTTTTTTTCTTTCCCCATATATACATAACGAGTTGTCGTTAGGAGCACCTTTTTTAAATTGACAGGACTAATTTGTGTACCACATAGCCAGTCTGTGGGAGCCAGAATTATTGTTGATTGGCAGGGGATCAAATACTTAATTTTACTCACTGAACTGCAACTTAATTTATAACATTTGTATTGTGTGTGTGTGTTGTGGTTGGTTAAAAAAAAACTGCATACCAAAACTTCCAAAGGTTTGGTCTGATCAGAGGTTTTGCTCACCCCTGGGTATGAAAGGGTTAAGACTATGTAAGTTACTGAATGTCCATAGACTGGTCTCAGTTCCATTTTCAAAGTTCCCTGGGATGTTAAAGGAAAGTCATGTGTGAGATCACCTGACGACCCTCAGGCTAGACTCTTTTGCCAGCTGCATAATATATGCTTCCATGCAATGCGCATTTTCATTTCTGCACATTAAATAGAAGAAATGGCGGCCTAATGAATAATGGACCAGAGAAAATGACTTTAGCACAACTTTGTCTCCATATCAGCATTCTTATTTAAAATGAAAACTGGTTTCTAAAAGCAGAAGCTCCAGTTTGTCAAAAAGAAAAGTATTCACTTTTACCTTATACTTCTCCTTCAGATGACCATAGCCGTGTCAAGCTGCAGAATGTGGAAAATGATTACATCAACGCCAGTCTTGTTGTTGTTGAAGAAGCTCAAAGAAATTATATTTTAACACAAGTAAGTGTTTGTGGGTCATTAGTCGTCTTGGGGTATGGGAATCTTATTGCTGACTCTGTCCCTATTGGAGAGAGACTTTACTTTTTTTTTTCACTTTCTGACCACTATCTGTAATCCCCCCCCCCCCCCCACTTTTTTCTCTTTTTTTTTTTTGTGTTT